AAAAAATAATAAAATAATCAAAATTTTATAAAAATTAATATAATCCCCAAGATTAATTAAAGAATTTTGTAGTATTATTAACTTTAAATTACGGTATTACGTAATCAAAATTAATCATAAAATTCCAAAATCAATGTCAATATCTATATCTCCACTTATATTATTATTATCATGTAAAATGGGCAATACATATTCCTCTTCACTTTCTTCATGCAAAATAGGTAAATTTGGACAGGTTTTAGTGAATTGGGTTGGGTGACCCAGTTTCGACCCAAATTTTTTTTTTGACCTTTGGCCCAAATTAATAAAGTCGTATCGATTTATATCGATATTTTTAAGGATACGAACAGATACGTATCGTATCGTAGGATACATATCAACGTATCGAATGGTTTAGGATACACTCTCTGATACGTATCGTTGGCGACCTATATCGAATCGTATCATATGATACGTGTCGGGTATCGTAGGATACTAACAACCATGGTTACAAACAGAGAGGAAGTACACAACCTTGATACATGTTAATACAATATTCATCATCAAATGTATTAAGCACTTGCATAACTCAATCCTCTTTAAATTCGATTTAATTAAGTTAATAAATTATACAAATTATCCTATTTTATAAGCAATAAATATATTATATGTATCAATAATTTATTAAAAAATAAACATTACGGGTGCGTTTGGTTCATTATTTTAGATATGATTTTGGGAATAATATTGGGCAGTTGAATAAGGGCGTATTACGATGTAAAATTTATAAATTTTTAAAAAAGCCCATAGGTTTACTAATTTAATTAAACACCCTAACATATAAAATGACAAAAACACCTCTACCACCCGCAGTGCCAGATTCTGGCCACCACCATCGGAATCTAGCTAGAAAACTGTGTTACGACACAAACCAGTCGGATCTATGTCATAACGCGTCGATATGGCCTTTTCCGGCCAGATCCACCACGAATCTGGCCGGAAAAGGCCAGATCTATGGCCAAATGTAGTCGTCGACAGCTGCAAAGGTCTATCTTTGTCCATCAGCGACAGCCAAAGATATGACCATCGTTTTCGGTCAATGATGACCATTTCTTTGGTTGTCGTTGACGGTCAGATCTGGCTGGAAAAGGCCAGATCGGTGAATAACCGATCAATTTCGATCGTGGTGTAAGCCATAGGGATATATTTCGGCTATCACTGATGGTGGTTACCGGAATCTGACAAGTATGGGTGGGTGGGAGTGTTTTTACTAATTTTTAAACTTTTTTAGGGGTATTTATGAAATTAATAAACTTAAAGAGTCTAAGAGTAATTAAAAAATATACTAATATTTCTGGAATAATTTGTCAAATAATATTTAGAAAATATAATTAGGAATATGGATTGAAATATTGAATCAAACACATCCTACAATATTATTGCCCGAGAGTGAAGACCACCATTGGGCATCACTATCAGTGCACAAAAATAAAATAATAATAATAACACTATTAGCATTAAATTGATCAAATACATCCATCTACAATCATTTTTACAGTAAAATGTCATGAAACATCATAAGAGGAGAAAAAGAATTTGACTAGACCTTTTGTAGCATCGTGTATCATAATTGTTGCCCTCGATGGACATGTCAAGTTCAATCCATTGTTTTTTTTTACTATTAATGAGTTTGACTGATTTTATCCATCAGTTGTGATAATACGATATTGTAAAATAAGAGGCCTTCATTCCATTGAAACTCCCTTTTATCTTAGGACATTCCATTATATGTTATAATTGTCTTTAACATTCGTTACGTATTATAATTATCTTTGACATTTGTTATGTGTTATAATTGTTTTGACATTCGTTATATATTATAATTATCTTTGACATTCGTTATGTGTTATAATTCTTTTAACATTCGTTATATGTTATAATTGTCATTGACATTCGTTATAGATGAGATTGAGCCAATCATTTTAGTTTTGGTAATATCACTAGACAACTAGACACACAATGACCGATGTCATTGGCAACAATATTATTGAAAACATTTTTGTTTTTTTATAGATTTTTTAAAGTGTATACATTATTTTTATTATTTATATAAACTTGATTACAAGATAATTATATTGTGTTTAATCTTTTGCAAAACTGTTTTGTGCTTTTTATTTTGGACTTTGTAATGCATAATATAATTATTTAAGGGAAATGGTTCAACATAACTAATTGTGACATTCTCATAAATTGTTTAAACTTGTGTTTTGGTAATTTTAAAATATTTTTAGCTCATCTAACCATCTTACCAAACTTATGTAAGCTTGACAATGGGGCGGGACGGGGCCAAAGACCCCATTCCCCACGCTTGTCCCATCCCTACTGTAGGAATTCCCCATCCTCACCCCACGGGAAATTTTAGAAGCCCGTCCTTATCCCGTTAATTTTACATTAACATCAATTATGAAAACAAACACATGGCAAAAACTATTTGAACATTGTCAACATAATAGTTAATTATCTTTCAATGTTGAAATTTGTACACATGATAAACACAGTAGTTAATAGTTTAAACTTAGAATAATACTTTGAGTACTAATGAATGGGTACTAATCTGTGTACTAACTAAAGCATAGTACCCGTACTATGTGTATAGTACGGGTACTATGCTTTAGTTAGTACACAGATTAGTACCCATCCGTTAGTACCCATAGCATCACTCTTAAACTTAAAGCTAAGGCACCACACTAGTCCAAATACATACTCATTATGTATTTGATCAATTACACCAATTAAAGAAACAAAATAAAAAACATGCACCAGGTAAGATAATTGCGAAATTATGTGAAATATATAGGGGTATTAATGTAAAGTAAAGGATAGGAGAAGGGCATATCCTCTCAAAAAAACTGTGAATCTTTGCCCCGTATGGGGCGGGGCCCCGGAATTTGGGGCTATTTGAAAGTTTAGAAATATATTTAGAGGAGTTTTTTATTTTTCAAATAATTGTCCTCCGATGTAATGGACCAAAACTACAAGAACAAAAATGGAATAATCCTGGCGATTTTATTTTTTAATTCGCACAATAAATCATCTACCTTTTCTGAAAGTTCTCCCCTAATTAAAGGTCCCTAAGATTTCATAATAGGCACCCCTATTGTTTCAGCACTGTTAATTTTGACGGATTATAGGTATTTTGATGTTGACATTCAAAAATATCGAAGATTAAGCAAATATAACTCACATTAATTATTTTCATACACAGACTAAGTCACTAACGTCGGGGTGTTTGAAAATGCATTTTTAAATGTAGGAAAGTTTCATGAATAAAAAATAAAATACAAAAGATATAAGTGGAACGAAATAATACAACTTACATAAAGATTTTGGAAATCTTTAATAACACAAAAAATAAAATTTTAAAGTAAAATCAATTTATCTTACTATCAATTGTTTTTTTTTAACATCAATGAAACCCATATCAGGTTTTTTTTCTCTCTCTCTCTCTCTCGTGCATACAATTTCCTTATTACTTATTTTTCTTGAAAAGAATTGTAGTTAGCTTGAAAAAAAAAAAACCCACTAAGCAAATAAATAAAAACCCTTGTTTTGGTAACGAGCTTCAATATGGACCAAAATCATAATTTATAATATATATATATATATATATATATATATATAGATGAAAGATAATAATGGAAATCTATTTTGCATATCAACGGAGGAAAAAGAATAATGACATGAAAAACAAGATGAATATTCGCTAAAATGATACTGTTGACCAATTGAAAGGGATGTAACATGCTACCCTCAGAATAGTTCATGAGTGTTTTTTTTTGTTTTAACTTATTTTCAACCTTTTAATATAAATTGATTTTGGATAATCTTCTTGATGTATGCTTTGTGGAAAAATAATAAATAAACCAATAAAAATTTTAGTTATACTATTAAAAAATATTGAAAAAAATAATAAATTAATATTTTGTTGTATTCTTAAGATTGTTATTTTGAAGTCTTATGTTAGTATTTAAAAAATGAAATGGAGGTAATATAAATAAAAGCGAGGTTTAGTATGTAATAGAGGAGTGGAAAAAACGCGCGGAAGGGGGAGAAGATGGAAAGAAAAATTGCTCATAAATACGAGGAACAGCATAAGCAGGTGATTGGTCGCCGGGTGAACGAAAGAAGAAAAAGTGGACCTCCTCCCGTACTCTTGGATTGGACTCTTCTGGAAAGATTTTCCTTTTTCTAACATTATTCCCGTTTCCTTTTATGATATCAAAAACCCTCTCTTCACTTCCCTCTAACCCCCAGATATTCATTTCCTATTTTACCCTTTTCTTTTAAATTTTTGACCGCTGTCTTCTCAACGGTAAAAAATCTAAGTTATATTTTAACTGGTTTTAGTTTGAGAAAGAGAAAGAGAAAGAGAAAGAGGAGAAGACGAGATTAATAGATAAATAAATAACGATGATAATGTTGTAGCTAATAAAGGTAATGGAGTAATTAGCCATCTTTTTAGTGTTAGCGCTGTCTATTTCTATTAGTGGTTAATGTAGAGAAGAGAGAGAGAGAAGAAAGAATGGATGGAGGGATGCTTTTCGATTTGGTTAACGTCGTAAAGTAGAGTAAGAAAGAGATGGTTCTTTCCTTCTCTCTTTCTTCTCATTTTCCCATCTGAATATGATGTTGCTTTAAACAACCAATTAGAAAAAGAAAATAAAATACAGTAAAATTCGTGCAGTTTTAATAAAAGACTGGAAGGAACCAAAATTATAGAGTAATTAAAATTTATGATTGTCTTTTTCTCTTTTTATCTTTTTGTTAAGGGTTGGATTTAACTTATGATTTTTTTATATGTCTTATTATAAGATTAGTGTTACTCAAAATTATATTAATAAATAATAAATTATTTAATTAAGAAAGGCGTGTACAGGACTCAAAGACAAGACATGAGAGAGAGAAAACAAAGTACTCTTAGTCTTATGAACTATGAGGAGTCATTGATAAAAATGAAAAAATAAAGAGAAAAGAAAAGGCAAGTGGAGAGAGAGAGGGGTAGCTAGTGCCTAGTAGTATTAAGCTGGCCTCGTTTATGCTTTGTATTGGGCAGTGAGGTATACAAGATCTTGAAACATCTACCCTTACAACCTTTTTACAACGCCTCTCTCTTTGTCGTAGGTTCTGTTCTTTGAATACTTAACCTTTGGAGTTTCTTCTCTTCTCCTCTTTATATTCATTCATTGTATTTTATCTTCTTCAAACACAAATACAGAAATAGAAAGAGAGAGTTTCAAGTTTCAACTCCCTGATCTTTCTTTGATGTGAGAGTGGATGATCAGAATTCCGAGTGGTTTTTCTCTTTTAATATCATAGCCTACTCTATATTCCTCCAAATAGTCTCATCTCTTACCAAGAAAAAATGTGGGATCTCAATGACTCACCTTATGATCAACCGAGAGAAGATTAGTCTGAAGGTTGTTCTTCCCATAAAGCCTCCTTAGATGGGGATGATGAGAAAGGCAAACGGGTGAGCTCCATCTCCAATTCTAGCTCTTCAGCTGTGCTCATCGAGGACGGATCCGACGAGGAAGTTGGTGGCGAGAAGGGCTTAAGTTTACAGAGATGCAGCAGTAAAATATTTGGGGTCTCCTTGCCTCATAGCGACTCTATGGAGGTGATTGACCCGCCTGTGACCCGCCAGTTTTTTCCTGTTGATCAGGACCCGGAAATGGGGAGCTCATCCAGTTGGGTGGGACATGATTTCCCTCGGGCTCAGTGGGCTGGCGTCAAATTTTGCCAATCGGAGCCTCTTGCGGCTGCCAAACCGGCTGAAGTTCCTCAGGCTCCGATGAAGAAAAGCAGGCGTGGACCCAGGTCAAGGAGTTCACAGTATAGAGGTGTCACTTTTTACAGAAGAACTGGAAGATGGGAATCTCATATATGGTTAGTCTTTTCGACGTTGTTGTTCTTGTTCAAATCTTTCTCACTTAAATGCAACATATACATATTTGTACACTCTAAAATCATTTATTTATTCATTCTTTTGGTTTTTTGGTTTGAGGTGTAGATGATGATGATCAGAATATTTATTTTTTGGTTTTTGTTTCAGGGATTCTGGAAAACAAGTGTATTTAGGTATGGCTAGAATTTTCTTGGCTACTAGTACTCTAAAATGGAAAAAAAATAAAATAAGGAACGGTTTCTTTTTTTGACTTTGATTGTTGAAACAATATGTTATGTGCTTCGCTTTTTCTGATGCGGGTTGGATGGGTTTGTGTTTTAGGTGGATTTGACACTGCACATGCAGCTGCTCGGTGAGCTCTAGCCCCCTATTGTTTACTAAGATTGTAATAGTTTTGATATTTTTCTCACCTGAAGGGAATGGGCAAGAGAGTTTCATGCGTTTATCAATGGAAAGAGAAAAAAAACTAAAAACTTGTGATTTGCAGTGCATATGATAGGGCAGCAATTAAGTTCCGGGGAGTTGAGGCAGACATAAACTTTAGTATAGAAGATTATGAGGAAGACTTGAAACAGGTAAGAGAGAGAAGGAGGGAGACTATTCTATAGGTTTTTATCTTATCTTCAATAGTTTACACCTTATCTACAACAGTTGTATGCTTTTCTTTGTTTATCTTGCCATTATGACACAAAAGGAAACCATATGAGTTCACATAAGGAAAGATTCTTGTAATTTTGTATGTCTACAGATGAGCAACTTAACCAAGGAAGAATTTGTGCATGTTCTTCGCCGACAAAGCACCGGTTTCCCTAGAGGAAGCTCCAAATATAGAGGAGTTACCTTACACAAGTGTGGAAGATGGGAAGCTCGAATGGGCCAATTTTTAGGAAAAAAGTAATCCCTTTGGATCCTCTTTTCTCATTTAAAATCTCAGTTATTACTTCACCTAGCTTTCTTGATTCTTCCCGCAAGCTTAAATTGTCGAATCTGTGTTGTCAGGTACGTGTATTTGGGCTTGTTTGATACCGAGATTGAAGCTGCAAGGTCCACTAGTTCTCTTCTCATTATTTTGTGTTCATTGGACATTTTTACTGTGGATGGGGGCTTTAAGTTTCTGTTTATATTTCTTGTAGGGCTTACGACAGAGCCGCAGTTAAGTGCAATGGAAAGGACGCCGTCACTAATTTTGATCCCAGCCTCTATGAAAATGAGCTTAACTCTGCCGGTAAAAGTATTTGCCAATTTCTGCTTTTTGTTTTAATTAGCTTTGACATATATTTAATTAAAACATAATATTTGGTATTATGTTCAGGTATTAATGGTGCAGACCACAATCTAGATTTGAGTTTGGGCAGTTCAACTTCAAAGCAAAGCAGTATAGATTTTGGTAGTAGGAAGCAGAATATTGGAACGGATAGGCTTTCGGCACCCTTGCCGTTTGATACTGATTGGCGTAATCGGGGATTTAGACTTAAGGTTTTATTTTATATTAATTCTTCACAATCTTGATTATTTCTTCTTATTGAACTTAATTTAACATGTTTTCAGATAATTGCTCTCCTTTTTTCTTATTTTGTTGGTATTTAACCTAACAGCCCAATCTGCAGCAACAGCAACAACCTTGTAGAAGAGAAAATGATGCGCGTAGAGGAGAAGGATACAGTGAGAATGAAACCATACAACTTCTAAGCCAAACGCACCTACAATCTCCAGGTGTCTCATTCAAGCCCAATGAAATGCAAAGATATGAGCAGTTCAGAAGAAGTGGAGATGCTCAAATACTACATATGGTTCCTCCACATTATAATCCAGCAAATTATCAGGTGATATAGTAGCGCTCGTCTAATTTAATTGATTATATGCCTAAAGCTGAAACTTTTTTAACTTAAAAACAAAATTATTAATGCATATATATATTGTTTTAAATGTTGAGTCAGTTTCCAAGCAGCAGTAAAAGAGGTCGAATTGGGAATGATCTTTCACCATCAACAAATGATCAACAATGGCAATCCGGTGATCCCCAATTGTTTGCAACTGCAGCATCATCAGGATTCCCACCACAGATTAGACAATCTCAAAATTGGCTGCAGAAAAATGGGTTTCCTACTCTCATGAGACCCTCCTAAGCTCATCAAAAGTTGCCATCTCTCACATGTTTGCGTGTAAGCATTTGAAGATCTAAACTTTTTTTTTTCTACTTTCCCATAGAAACCAAAAGAAATCAGAAGAGAAAGGATCTACCGATATTTCCTTCACGATGGGAAACGTTGGTCAATCGGTCAAACTAACAGACAAATGCAATCTTCAGCTAGATATTTTCTGAAGTACTTCTGACTAAAACTGCTGATCCTTTTTTATTATGTCTATGAAATGAAAGATATATATGGCTTTGCCGTCCTATATGGTATTGATTACTGGCACCTATATCCTAATGTTTCTAGTAATTTCTTAGTTAGCTGCGTAGCTCGCATATCTTACATGACCTCATTTATTTATGTACGTTTTCGTAAATTACCCCCTGAGAAAGCATTTTGCTGGCTGGTGCTGGACTGATTTTTTTTTTTTTTTCCCCCCTAATCCACTGATGTGCCATTGCCATTGCCATGTATATTCAATTCTTCATGTTTGTGGGGGTAAAAATCTTTAGCTTAAACTTGCTTACTGAAAATAGAAGTGAAAGCGTAAGAGAGAGAAATTCAGACATATGAAATGGGAATTGTGGTCTCGGAAATATCAATGGATGGTGATGAATAGTCACTGTCATTTTTGTCCTTTGAATCAGTTCTCTCGGCCAAAGTAGTCAGACATCGCTATAATGACGAGAGGGACTTATCATCTTAACACACAAAGCTTTAAAGCAGTGTTGGTATGTAAGGTAGGGAGACTGGGAGGGGTGAAGGATCTCACATTAGACAGCATTTCTCTTTTTTTTTTTTTTTTTTTTTTTTTTTTTTTTTTGTTTTTTGTGGGTTTTACATTTGGATACGGGTTTACTCTCGGCTTTACCCATATAGACAAATGAAGAAAAAGAGTATTTAAGACTTAAGATTAAGAATACAACTGTCCTTGTAGGAGTCGTGGAGACGTTTTGGCCTTTGTTATAACTAAATATTTTGAGTGTTCCTTCTTTGAATCAGCTAGCAGTGTACGAGAGCGGGGTCGAGGCTTTGAATATTGATGAATTCACATGAAGAAACTTAATTAATTGTTTTAAAATATTTGATGACAAAAGTATGAGCTTTGATGGTTTCAATGATATTGCAAATAGGAATAAATAATAAAATACAAGTAGCTATTTCGTCACCTGGGACGTCACTCTAAATATTTTATCAGCACTAACTTTCTGAGCTTACAATTGAAAAGGCCATTGGGGTACACAGATTTTTTTCTTTAAGTGGCAAAGCGCTTACATAGAGGGCTGAATTATTATGTTAAAGTTCAAGGCATCTTTTTCTGCAATCATGAGATCTGTCTAATTATCTCGCATCTTAGGCTAATATAAACTATATATACGCTATGTAATATGTGCATATATGATTAAAATGTAATATATTTTATTTGATGAAGATATAGATAGGATACATATTAATTCCAGGTAAAATTCTCTTGTTATAATTATTTATCAAAATACTCAAATTCTTTGGTGATTTCACATTCACCTTATATGAAATAACAAGGAGTTTGCTCACTTTTTGGTTGTTGGTTTGGGGGTCATTTATCACAATAATGTTGTGACTTATTTAGTTCTTTTGGGTTGTAGAATGTTCACTAGACTTTATATTAATTGAGGTGTGCGCAAACTGGTTCGACACTTCATTATAAAAAAAATATATATATATACACAAACCTGCATCAATTTACATGCTTTTAAAAGAGGAGATTCAATAAACTTTTTTTTTCCCTCAAAATGCAGTTCCATCAGGAAAAAAAAAAAAGGAAAAAAACATGTCGAATTTCTTAGGTGTTTTTTCTTTATTTTTGGCAAAGTTTGGAATCCTATTTTGAGAAGAATATGTTAATCCATCCAATTACTCTTTTATTATATGAGACTATTCCTTTGTCTTTAAGAGTCACGGATAAGATCTCAAAGCGTCTCTCAAGCAAAGAATCACTCTTGCTTTATACGAGCAAATAAGCAACCAGGGAAAAATGTATAAAAGAATTGTCATGGCCATCCAAGTAATTAAAAGAAAAACCGACCAAACCACCAACGACACCGCCCTTAAAAAAAAATAGCAACATAATATATTCTTAAAAAAAAAAAAAAAACACACACAGAAGATAAAGATAACAAAGTAAGTCCATTAGATCCTCTCCTTTGCATCGGATCTAAGAAACACTGTCAATTCTCAGACAAAATTCTTATTATATTTTGTCTTAACAAAATTTATGGAGTGAAATTTATTTATATTAACCACGTGAAGTTAAAAGAGAAGTGGGGACATAATAAGAGAAAGGGAAGATAAAAATAAAATAAAAAAGAATAAAAATAAAGTAAAGAAAATGAGTCTGGCTTGACTTTGCTTTATTTCTATTTCGGATTAGGGTTTCCAAAAATAGAACTTTTTGGTGTCTTATTATTTCGAATAAGAAATTAAAGTAGAATTAAATATTCTAGAGTAAAGATATATAGTGTATGTGCGACTGAGACGTGAAAATGAAATGGGTTTCTATTGGATTACTCTTAAACTCTGCTTTCATCATTCATTCATTCATTCATTCTTGGTTTCAATTTCCAGGACTCTCTCATGTTTCCTTTTTTTCGCTTTCATTATACCCATTTTCTTAATTCTGACGGAGTTGTATATGTGTTGCTCTATGGTTGGATGAAAATCTATCTATCCTGTCAGTTGAATTTGAATTTATATCATCAGTATAATGTGTTCACCCTGACCCGGTTGCGTTTCTGAAAAGAAACTAGTTTTGTCTGTCTTCCCTCGAGGAAAGAAAACAAAAACATAACTCTCATCTTGTTTTAGGCACATTTCTGTGACAAAGAACATGACTGCAGGAAGCACTTGTTTCTAGGCTTATATATATATATACATATTTATGTGACAAAAAAGCTTTGATCGGATTATAGCGCTCTAAGTTATAAACCACCAATCACAAACCTTGAAAAGGACTAAAGATTCCATTCATGTGCAAACTAAAAAGATATAATAAATAAGTTGAAGAAGAAAGATGATAACATGAATGGAGTTGGTCCTCAAAGGATCTTTTGTGTTGCCCCTTGAGGAGATTCGAGGAAACATGGAAATCCCAGCCAAGTATTTCCTACCACTTCGCATAAAGAAATATGTTCTAATTAAAGTACTTATAAGGTATCCAACATCATCAAATCAAATTACTTAATTTTACTTTTAAAACTTTGAGGAAAAAGTAAAAATTTATTTATATAATAAAATACGTGTATTCAAGAGTAAAATGTAATCTCGTTGATGGTATTTTGATGAATGGAGCAGCAGGAGTGACCACATCAGGCATATATTATCTCAACCTATCAATCTGAATAATTAAATGGAAAGGAATCTAAAAATCTCATCCCTATATGAGTGGGGTTGATGAGCTTTGATCCAAGAAATGAAAATAGTAGCTCAAGAATATTCTAAAATTGGACTTTTATTCATTACCATTTAGGATGGTAAGAGTTAAACGGTCGGATCGCAGATGATAGCGAAATCCCGTTTTGAATGCAGTGGCCATAAACAGAAAGTGGGTTCGTGGTCCCTTTCCCTTTCAAGAAAAGGTATATAGCGTGTTAATAATTTAGGTAAATCAGGTTTTAATCCAGTTCAACATTTATACTATTTAAATTACTGTAATTGTGCATTTCATTGTAGTTAGACTCAACATACCAACTAATCTCATGAAATTCTTTTCATTGGTATACCAGTAAGTATGTAAGGTATTAATTGAAAAAGGTTAGAGATAATGTTGTCTTAACTTGTGTTTAGGTTTTTGTCATTTACCCCAAATGGAACCTCGTAGTTAAACTTAACCAATAATTAATGTGAAATGGAATGATAGTTTAGGGTTATTGGTGAAAAGAGAAAAAAGAAACATCAAAATCAATATCCAACCCCAACCCAGCCACCAAATCAGACAAAACAAACAGCCAGTATAAAGTAGTTAAACTCTTAGAAATATAAATTAAAAACAAAGAAACACAACACAGCTACAATACAAGTTAAAAACTAGATTAGATATTTGAGTCACGACAGAGAAAAATTAAATGGTATCTGTCCTGCTGTTCTGCCACCTTCTGTAAAAAAAATTTAAATTTTATATAAAGTGGTGGGTGTAAAATTTAGTTCTTGTAGCTTTCAATTTTGGTACATTACTGACTTATGAATTAGATGTTACATAGCCTTACAGAATTGTATGGATATGAGGCATTATTGTCCAAGGGGACCTGTCAAAATACTGTAGGCATGTGGGTGTAATAGTGAGATCTACCTACAAAAATAATGGACATACTCTTTTTTTTTTTTTTTTTTTTTTAAATTCATAATTAGGGTTAGTTAAACTGACTTTCCAAGTTCGGACAAGGCAACGGTGTCAATTAGCTATTGATTCTCCCTGCTTTTGGATTGGATTAACGTGGAAAGTAAAGAGAGGGGGTCAATTAGATAATAAATTATTTATTAATTATACATGTCCTACTCTTACCTGTTTAGGTTGGTATGTGTTTCCTTCTTCCCGGCTGTTTACTATTAAAATAGTTCACTTTTCTCAGAACTCCATAATTGGTTAGGTCTCTGAATATGTGAAGGTCATTAGTCATGTATATTTCATTGTCTGCTTTGGGGTTTGATTATAAGTGAATGAAATACATATGTCTCTTGAGAAACATAAGCTTGAACACAAAAGAAGACGTATTAAACTCGGGGAGATATAAGCAAAAAAACTTGATAGAAATACGGTCTTAAGTGTAGCAAAACTTGATATTTAAGAGAAGAGTAAACGACTTTTTTCCACTAAAATAATAGCGTAGTGGCATTTTTTCACCTATAGATTTTTAAAATACCACTTTACTACCAAAGTTTATATTTTATTTTCGATTCTAGCATCGTTGCGACTCCACACGACCATCATTCTCTTCCCTGATCATCATTCACCAAAACCATTCAAACCCTACTCTCATAGATCTTGCCAATTATTGGCAATTGAGCGATTAGGGTTTGAGTAACCGTCTCTCTTAAGTCAAATTCTAATCAATCTTAACCACCAAAATCCTATTATTTACCACCAAAAGACTTATCGGCCTACCATTTTCAAAAGATCCAATAGTTTGGATCGAATTTACTCTTTATTTGCTATCGGAATATAAATTTGAGTAATAAAATGATATTTCAAAAGTCTATAGGTGAAAAAGTGTTATTAAGCCATTATTTGGGTGAAAACATTGTTTACTCTTAAGAGAAATACAGTTATACAGGTCATTTACGTAGAGGCAAGTAGGTTGGATATTTGAGTGGGTGATTATGACTTACCACACTCGTCAATATCTGAAAAGGGAAAACCATTAACCAAAGGGATTTCCTTAACTTCAAGAGAGTAGTTGAAAGAATTAAAGTTTGCCATAAAAGAGATGTTGTGACTAGTCATTATATATTTTAACAAATCGAATTCTTAAAGATAAAGTTTACCATATTATGTTTATGTCTGGAAGTTCTTTCTTTGCTTAGATTTAAAAGCTTCAAATTATCTTGTTATAGACAAAATAGCATTCCAATGATTTCTTTAAGAGGAAACAAAAATTTCATCAACTAGAAATGACTGTTTATCAATTTAAAAATTTGCTAATTTGTCTTGCTGAAACTAAAGATTTTCCTTTATGGGACACAAAGAAAACACAATAACGAATTTCTGATTTGGGTAAACAAGACTTTGCTTTATAATTCCATATTGATAGTTATTTTCACTAAAAAAGAGTGTTGAGTCTCGTCATGCCACTGCCAAACATCTAAATACAGTAAACTAAATGGACTTGCTTTAAACGTATTAAAGGGTTCATTCCTAAATTGATTTTATTTTGTTGTTGAGTGGACTTGTGAAACTCCAACAAAAAAAGCCTGACGTTGAACGCAAGCCCTTCACCGACCTTACTAAATTTAGATTGTTTCATTGTTAAGCTAAGAATTATCTTAATTATGCTTCTTCATTACTCTCTATCTTTCATTTCTACTTGTTTTTTTATTTTATTTTTGAAAATAACGCCAAAAAAGGTAGAAAAGGAGTAAAAATTGTGCTACAAGATTTGAAGGTATCATTTCCAAAATGGGATTTTGTTCTATAAATGTTAAAATTAACTTAAAAATGACTCATGTAATATTACTATTCTTAAAATTAAAGAAAAAAATTCTATCAAACTCTTTACGGGGACGTAAACCAAAATTCTTTCTTGCAAGTTTGAAGATAATGGGGAAATTTTAACACTATACTCCTGGATCTCATTTGCAATGGCAAAAGTTAAATATACTGGGTTTATTGATAGAATAAGCTATAAGCCTTATGCCCAGATTAGCTGGGTGGACTTTTAGCCCAGAAGCTAGGTAGCAGCAGCAAGGGAACGCCGTTATAAGTACACTTAATTGTGCAGCTGATTTGGATGGAGTTCATGTAATCTAATGCTTGTTCACAAGGATTATGCACCTGATGTTTGGTTATCTTTGGCTCTTTGCAAAGAGATAACACTATAGAATTTATTACTGTCAGCGTTCAAGAAAATGTCAATGCTATTTGCCCCAGTAAGATAGCAGAAAATAATCCAAGTTGATTGCACTAATTCTATCCCGAGAACAAGAAACAATGAAACATAGACATAGTATAGTCCAACAATACAATAATATACCTTGGGGGCAACACCAATAATTTCTCGACATGGGTAAATTCAATAATTTTAGTAAGTTGTCTGGCAAGACATCCACAGGTAAGACATTTTTCTCATTATGAGAAATGTCATCTCTCTATAAAGACCTAAGTAAGCTACATTCCCTAACACAAATATTTGGTATCATATTATCTTAATTTTTCTAACATTTCCCTTTTTCCTTTCTATCTATCTTCTTTTAACTGTATATTTTCAATTTCCCACCAGGGAACGTGTAAGCGACGGATCTCAAAACAACCAACGCCAAGTTTCGCCATGGTTGCACAAAAATCATTCATCTCCAAATGTTGTACATCACAAAAAGAGGTGCGTCTTAAACATCCTATAAGAAGCACAAAAGAGACCTGCAAAATGAAACGCAAATGGATCAGCAACTAATGACTTAAAAATAGCTTCAGCTCAACTTCAATCAGTAAACCCAAAAATCATCTTAGATCACCATCAACAATGGTTAAAATATAACAAACAATTGGATACTTGGGAGGCAAATATTGAAACAAACGGAGGAGCATTTACAAGGGAATGACAGACATCATTTGCTCAAGTCCAATACGTTCAAAGGGAAAAGGTTATGGCTATAAAGCTTATTTGGAAGCAGAGTCATTGAAATCCCAAATCAAATTTACAAAAATTACATCATGTGGGTGCATGTCACAAAGAAACTTCTTTCATCACATCTAAGAACACAGTTCTCCACACAACATCTAATTCCCTTTGCTATGTCATATTTCTTGGTCCAACATATGGTAGAATGCAGAACAAGGAAGAATGCAACCCATGCAATCAGCAGCAAGAAGTCGCGCAACCTCTTACAAGTTTACTGACTTCTACACTAAAAATGAAAAGATGCTGTAGCATCGTATAGTAGTTGCTAGTAGGCAAATGGTGGTTAAACCTCTATCCTATAAGTATGACAAAACTAATTGCTGACTCTTTATGCTCAACAATTTTTTCCTTATTCCTTATTCCCTGGAGAAAAAGAACAAAAAAAAGGAGAACACAACAATCTCTTTGGATAACATATGAATCAAATTCGGAAGAAATAGAGAATATACAGCATAGCAACTGGCAGTGGTGCTTACGTTAAGAATCAAATCATATACAAAGTGCACCCATGTCAGGTGGCCCTCCATCCGATCCAAGGGAGGATGTCGATTTTGAAGGTCCTCTGCTCTTGCCTTGCTTCCTTTCCTTTCGACTCTCTCCAGAATCAACTGTTTGGTTACTGATGCAATGAAAATGACATTAAAATATAGAGAGTTTTTTGGAAGCTTTTGTTAAAACTGTTTTCCATAACTCAATGGCAAACACAGTCAAGGAAAAATTCTGGTAATAACTTGTGACTAATAAAGCATGCAAGCATAAAACTGCACTTGACCGACGTGATATTGACACTGCAGTAAGAAGTTCTTCATGCTGTCTTTCATACTCTCCAATGTCAAGCAAGTAGTTCCTTAGGAACATCATGTTACTGATGTATTAAAATTATGACATGTAATCATAAAAATTCAACAGACGCACGAAAGAGTAGAGGTCAAGAAGTTTACACAACAAACTTAGTAGATCTTCCTGCAGCTGACCCACAACAAGCCTTGTATTTCTTCTTTGATCCACAAGGGCAGACCTGGTCCTAGAAATCTTCTAAATTGCCGGAAAAAAGAAAGAAAGAGGAAAACAGAAGAATCATCACACTTTGGAACCAACTCCATTCAAAAAACTAAGTTCTGTGTTTAGCAAAGCAGAAAACCTTGTCATCGTTTGGAATCTGACTCATCATGGGCTCGTTTAAGGCTATTACTACAGATCCTGTTCACAAGTCTTCTTTCAGTTCTACTTGAGTTGCTCACTGTTCCCATTTAATTGTCACCTGGACATTCTTAGAAATTTCAATATTATATAGCAAAGCAATCTCTTCAATATCACTTAAGGCAAGAGCAAGGTGTTTGTTGGATCCCACATTGAAAGGGAAAAGGGTGGGCATGTGGGTTATAAGGCTTGGGCACCCTCCCTTGACAAGCCGGTTTTCCAAGGAGAGTTCTACCCAAGCCCATGAAAGACCCATGGCCCAACCCAAATTATTGAGTTATAGATGGGTTCCTATCAATTGGTATCAGAGCATGATCCTGCGCCTATGTGGCAGCGCACGCGTGGCAGGCTGACCGTGGCAGGCTGACCTTGGGCCCGGGCTGCTACCTCGAGAAAGGGCATGGAGGCCCGAAGGAAAGGGATCCGTAGTCACCCAAGGGGTAAAGAAGCCGACGGGGTAAAGAGGCCGACGTGGACGTCGTTGCGGAAGCGTGGTGGAATGTTGGGATCCCACATGAAAGGGAAAAGGTGTGGCATGTGGGTTATAAAGGCTTGGGCACCCTCCCTTGACAAGCCGGTTTTCCAAGGAGAGTTCTACCCAAGCCCATGAAAGACCCATGGCCCAACCCAAATTATTGAGTTATTAGAGTGGGTTCCTATCGTGTACAAATATCTACCAACATTACAAAAATTCTCAAGTATTGCACTAAGACGAACAAAAATGTGAGTAACGATGTATCGTCCTATACCTGAAAAGAAAAAATACAATAATAATAACAAAAGAAGCTATTGTTCATAGAAAGCAGATTTCTGCTCTCATGTCAGCATAATCAAAATCTTTTATAAAAGACAGGTTCAAGAGTAAGATTATCCAGGACAAGCTATGTGTATTTATGTCATTTCATAGTTACATAGTTATATAACAACCAAACACTATCCCTTTTTTTTTTAGCTATTGAACTTGTGTCCCTTTTCGTTAAGCTTTAGAAAAAATTGTCCTCCAAACGATAATTACCCTGGTTTTTAATAGAACCACACTTCAGTTAAGCAAGCATACAGTTCATTACACTCTTACAACTGGCATGCTAAACTCATGGAGACATAATAAATTGCTCCTAATGCCAAGCCAAACACTAAATTTAGAAAAGGATACAAAAGCAATAAAAATTAAAAAACTAAATAAACATCACTTTGTGGTAAGCCTCATGAAAATACCTAGAATATGCAAGATATACTGACTGGCCATTACCATGAGAAATATCCATATGACAAGGAGATAAATTATTTTCAACAGTGTAGTCTTCTGCTCCTTGTTCTGCAACCAGAAACTCTATTGCAGCATCAGTATCACCACCTACTTCCAGTAAAACCTGGAATAAGATCAACATTTAAAAACCAAAAGAATAACAAAAAAATTAAATTAAATACTCAAAAGCAAAATTCAAAATAAGCATGTAAAAGATACAAATTTTAATATCAAAACTAATGTCGTGGAGGAGAGAGAAATCATAGAGAGTAAAGAATTCAATGCAACTTATCACCTGTTCAACTCTTTCAGCATTTTCACAACCAGTTCCTGCCATAACCATTTTGATGGATCCTGCATTGATAACATTGGGACCAAATCCCCCTTTTGACTTGCTGGCTGCAGTTTTTGCTTGATGAGATGCAGCTGAAAGATCAGCATCAACCTTTAACAAACTAAAAGTATTAGGCTATTGGTACTGGTTATATATTAAAACTTATAAGTAATATAATACAGTTGCAATAAGAAATCACAATAGCCTCAACCCACAAAAAAAAAAAAAAAAAGTAGAGACCTTAATTATGATTGGCCTAGCTGAGCCATTACAAGGGTCTTCCTTCAATCGCACACTATTGTAATGTTCTCCATCATGATAAGATCTAGAGGTAAAAAATAACAATGAGAACAGCTTGTGCCAAAATTACGAATCACAACTACCATAAAGAGAAAAGACAACTGTGAATAAATTGAAAGATAATGCACAAAAATCTCAACACTTTTTCAAAAGAGAGAGAGAGAGAGAGAGAGAGAGAGACTAAACCAATCAAGAAAACAGAAGAAAGTAGACTGTTAAAATTATTGAGGCTTAAACAACAAACAGAATATAGCCTACAAGTAGTTGAAAGATGTAAATAAACAACCTCTCCATCCAAAGATTTGTTGAATAACAATCAAATAACATATATAAGCTACAAAAGTAGGCTNTTCAATCGCACACTATTGTAATGTTCTCCATCATGATAAGATCTAGAGGTAAAAAATAACAATGAGAACAGCTTGTGCCAAAATTACGAATCACAACTACCATAAAGAGAAAAGACAACTGTGAATAAATTGAAAGATAATGCACAAAAATCTCAACACTTTTTCAAAAGAGAGAGAGAGAGAGAGAGAGAGAGAGAGACTAAACCAATCAAGAAAACAGAAGAAAGTAGACTGTTAAAATTATTGAGGCTTAAACAACAAACAGAATATAGCCTACAAGTAGTTGAAAGATGTAAATAAACAACCTCTCCATCCAAAGATTTGTTGAATAACAATCAAATAACATATATAAGCTACAAAAGTAGGCTTCCATTTTTAGGATTTGGCTATAGTACAAGAGAAACTTCACATAAAATGTCCTCATCTCTCACAAAAATTAACAGACATCAGATAAAAAATTATAATATTAAGATGGCAGAGGAATGTCAACCGTCAAGTCTGACACACTAGTGTCCCACCTAAAATACTCCATAACATAGCTAAAGTTTAAGGTAAGAAAAAAAAATTGCGAGGGCCAAAGGTAAACAAATCCTCTTTCGTATTTAGAATAAATGCAGCACAAATGAACAACACAAGCATGATAAAAAGTTTTAGAATACTCACAAATGAACCATACGAGCTTCATCAGAATCAAAATTCCGAATGTACCAACGAGGTGACATGTGCTGTATAGATCATAATCAACACTTAAATCTCCATCTTACTCAGAATAAACAGTAAATGCATGCAATGCATAGTAGTGCATATACACCAGTGAGAGAGTATCATCTGTATCAAGTAAAGAGCGAAGGAGAGTTTACATCTTAAAATGAAAACCATGCCCATCCAATGCAAATATTGTTTATTTTGGGTCTTCTAAATAGTTTGCAAGGTTTTAAAATGTGGCTTACACTAGAAAGGGGCAGAGGGGAATATCAATTAGTAGCTGAAGTTTTGCATTAGTGATGTAAAACCTGGGTGGGCCACACCAATCCAGTACAAGTGCTTACAATCTCACCTCCTGAGAACTTGACATCGTCATGAAGAGTGGCAATATGAGAGAAGCACAAATACACACACCCTTCGCTCTAATACCAGTTGAAATCACCGATGAAAAGACTAATGGTTTACTCTACAACCAAGCAAGATCAAACAAACTCAACTAGCGTTTCGTGGTAAGAGCCCATAGTTTCAACTAAAAGGTCAAGGTTTCAAATCCCCTTGGGGCCACCTTCTTGGGATATCATACCCAATTAGTTTCCTGAGTAACAAGGTAGCCCCAAGTTTAGAACTTAAAACATTTAAGAAAGATCAAGGGATTTCTAAGTAAATATAAATTAATTAATTAAAAAAAAAAAACTCAACTTTAACACTCACAAATAGCTCAAAGCCACATGGGAACTAAAAGTCTCAAAAGAAAGGGAAAAAGATATGCTATGATAATTTGATAGCAATCTGGATGAATAATAAAATACAGAAGTACATCAAAGAGAAAAAGGGTCGCACCCGGTGAATGCATATATTACAACGTGTAACAAGAGAGGCTGCCTGTAATTCCATATGTCCAGCCCACGTGCCATCTTCTTCCATGGATAGACAATACTCATCAAATGGGACATCATCCTCAATAAAGGGCTCGAATGTTTCACGATTCTTCTATTGATTGAAGCTCCAATATAAGATTCATAAAGGAGATGATTTTTCAAAAATGAGAACAAGAGTAATCATCCAACCAGTTGCTTCTTGAAAAGCAAACAGATTATCATAAACATCAATGAAGGGAGCTGTAAGTATCATCTAAGAAAAAAAAAGAGATTTCATATTGACATGCAGCACATAGGAAACACTTTGAAGTGTTTTCTAGTTAAAATAAAATAAGATAAAATAAATAGAAACATAATTTTCAGAGCACAATTGGGAAGTTGAATATATTTATTAGATACCTGACTGCAACCCCAGATTTTCAAGACAACAGACTGTATCTTAAACTGTGCATACCTATGACTACTAGAACCGTATAGGTTGTGCAAATCTTTTTCTGAGCATAAACAATGCTAGCTATGACTACTAGAATCGTATAGGTTGTGCACATCTTTTTCTGAGCATAAACAATGCTAGCTATGACTACTAGAATCGTATAGGTTGTGCACATCTTTTTCTGAGCATAAATCATGCAAACCTATGTCTACTTGACTAGTAGTTTCTGCACTTGTTTCCAGAAACTCATACATTGGTGAGAATTACAAAGCTTATTGCAATTCAGAATCAAGCCTGTACTGGGCACCATGTCGAGCCAGTTGAATTTCCAGTTTAGTAGTCTTTTCATTTCATTCCAGCCATTTTATTATTAATCATTTCTCATCAATATTGATAATAATAACTGAATTCACCATATACTTCAGCAATAAAACCTAAGTTCTGGCATCAAATGCAACTGAAGGATAACAAAAAAAAATAATTTTCAAACAAGCAACAACAACTAAAAAAGTTGTGAGAATTCTTCTAAAAAATGACAGCAACTCATATAATTAACATTTTCTACCTTGGCAGCCACTTACCACTATATATTGTACAACCAAACTGCGATATTTCTCGTGTTCTTCCTCATTGCCTTCCAACTGATCTGCGAGTGCCCTGCAAGCCAACAAGAGAACAACTTAAAGTACATTCAGATAAATGGACAGCACACTTTTTTTCTTTCTTTCTTTCATTTTTTTGTTTATCAGTTAATTATTTTATATTTTGTCAAAATAGTATTTCATTCAAATCCCTTAAATGATACTGTGAAAATTTAAAAAAAAAAAAAAAAAAAGTTTCTATAATGAGTAATGTCAAATGAGATCTTCCTATAACAGACCTGAAGAAACAATTACCATCAGCTGTGACTTGGATGATTTTTAGGCCCAATGTGTCAAGCTGTGCACGAAACTGAGAAATATCAGCCTGCTTTCCCTTTGTTTTCATAACCTTCTGAAACAGATAATCAGCACAGCTGGAATTAAACAACTTAGCAAAAATAAAAATATACATAGTAAAAGAAAATCATCCAAAACACTGAGCTACCCGTTTTTATGTAGAATAAACTAAAACTGATTCATCATTAGTCAAATGAAGGGTAAAATCTATGGCTCATTAATAAACCTTCCACTATTTCTCGGAAAGTTTAATGTCTTTTCAGATATTTTCTTGCTCAAAAAACTAATTTTTCCCAAATAATTATTGTGTTTAACCTTGCCATCATTTCAAAGCCTCCAAACAAATGTACCCTTAACATTGTTGATAGCCAAATGTGTCAATATCAAAAAGTGAATCTCACATTACATTTCATCGCCTAACAACATCAATCCACAATCATAGCATTCCAACATCCTTGAAAACAGCGGCTCAGTACATTTAAAATCACCTACCCCTCTCAATTACACCAAAACTCTCTGCTCAATCGCTCATGTCATTGGTATGTATTTTAAAGAAAATTCTTAAAAGTAACATTATGTAACTATCCTCTAATTGCATCATGAACAAGTAACAAAGTCAAAGCATGTAGGCCATTTGAAGCACAAATCTTCCTCACACGCATATGCATTATAGAAGACTTAATATATAAACAGAAGCAGTCGACATTTAAAGCACATATGTTTTGCCCAGTATTTCATTCTAAACAAAAAACAGCACAAACATAAAATTAAGGTTTTTTTTTTTACATACAATACATTTTTCAACAGAAACGAGATTATACACAATTTATTTATAATTCATAAATTAAAATATCTAGATATAGTAAGCGGTATAGAGCTAAGAAATTTGTAGCATAATTCATAGAAAAAAAAAAATATACAAGAAATGGAGAAGATAAAAGGTAAAAATATAAGGGTATAATAGAGACGAAATTACGTGGGTCGGTTTCTTGAGTTTGGACTTTTGTTGTTTGGGTTTTACCATCGTTTGAAATATAGGAATGCTTGAGATAGAGAGGGAAAGCAAGACGACCACAAGCCGGAATAAATGCGGCAACTCGGACTCAGCTCAACTCTCTACTGTAAAAAGTGTAGACAATACGCTTCATCGTCTCAACATCTTTTTTAATTTTTCTGTCCATTTACAGTATATCCCTTTCTCCTTGTCTGTCTTCCTCTCGCCTCGGGTCTGGACCTAAGCGGTTCTTGTGATGGGCTTAGAGTTCTGGCCCAGTTAAACACTCATCAGCTATTTCCAGGACGACTTGTATAATTCATTTTCATTTTAGGGTCCGTTTGATTCGGGTCATATAAGATAACGGGGTTAATCTTCGTTTATTTTGTAAGATTCCGTTGTTCAATTTGCAAGTAATAAAATATTACATGTATCTTTTATTGTAAATAGTGTTTATAGTTGGTAATATAGGGGGTATTCAAATACCTCCTAGTATGTGTTATTAAAAGATTATCGAGGTAATATGATTTTTATACTTATTTTGTCCCTAATTAAATATCATTTCGGACATAGGTGCCCTCAAATGTTTACCAAATAACCATTACCCCGCCCCCCCTACATTTGAAAATTCAACTAAAACACCCCAACTACAAAAAAGTTTAAAAGTTAACAAAATACCCTCAGCCACCCAAGACTATCCCCAGCCGCCGGCAGTAGTCGCCGTAATGGCATATAACCGGCAGGATCTGGACGGTCGTGTGTCAGTAAGGCCGTTTCAGATCTAGTTGGAAACAGACTTACTGGTAGACGAGCGGCCAGATCCAGTTGGTTGTGCGCCATTATGGCGGTTGGCTGCCGGTAGTGGCTTGGGGTGGGTGGGGTGATTTTGCTACAAATTAAAGTTTTATATGGTTGGGGTGTTTTAGCAAAATTTCAAATGTAGGGGGGTTAAAAAAAATCATTCAAAAAATAATAATAAAAATAATATTATATTAATATTTAAAAAGGAAGGCAATTAGTAATTTATATAACATATCCACCCATTTATCCTCCTAACCAAACATATAAATATAACATAACACATTTTCCTAAACATTCCCAATAGTTTTCAAGGTAATCTATCTTTTTATTAATATAACATCTCCATGTAATAAAACATTATATGAACTAAACATACCATTAATGGTAATGTGAAAGAGCAAGAACGATTGTAATATCATTGTATGAAATTCTTGAATTATGTTCAACACTTGCATATTTGATTGATAATCTGAAAAATTCCTGCCGTTTGTATCATCTAGTCCAACAAATAATTTTAAGATATTATTATCGAGGGATTAATTGCTTAAAATACTGCTGTGATTTTTTAAAGAAATTATATTAAATATCCCTAATTGAGAGATTGAATTGAAAAACAGCCAAAAAAAGAAAAAAAATCTCTTACCAAATATCTATTCCACATATTTTATCTCGGTTAGTCGGTTTGGACGAAATTGCCCTTTCTTCTCCAATTAACACTTAGCCTAACACCTATTTCCTCTGGAAAATGCTACACTCACAACCTCTTCTCACAAATTTTCTCTCACAACCCCAACGTGATAATTTGCAATTAGTCAGCTCGTAATGGATCTCACATGGGTCCCATCTAATAAATTGTGACTGATTAATTGCGAGCTGTCATGTTAGGGTTGTAAGATAAAGTTTGTAAGAATAAGTTGTGGGTGTAGCATTATTCATTTTATCTTCTCTCAATTTTTCTCTATCATCAATAAGTCCTCACACCATCCAATATTATCGAAGCTTATTTTGTTGAGAAGAAGACATTATTTAGCTATTTAGCTCATTTGCTAAGTTTTTCTCCCATTAGAAACCACAACCCAATAGATATGTTATAATAATAATAATATATATGTTGGAAACTGTTGATGCGTGAGTTTGACACCAACGAAACGCACGTGTGAAATGTTGAGTTGGCCCAAAAGACACACGTGAATAGAAAGGAAAATGACACTAAATGTAGTGAGAAATGAGTTTTAAAATGGTTCGGATGCTAAGGAAGCAAATCCTACGTCCACTGATGTTTTTATTAATGATAATGGTCAGGTCGCTTTAGACAACTGACTTTACACTGATGATACAAGGTATTAAAGACTGTCTTTTCTAGAGAGAGAGAGTTTTTGTCAAGAGTAAAATGTGTGAATCCCCTTAATGAGAGAGGAGCTCTCATTTTATAGTGGGATGCCTTGAGGTAATGATCACTGAATCTGTAAGTTGGTGGGATGATTTGTGCAAATCCTTCTTTTAGAGTAATTCACGTGATTTGCTGCAGGGATTGGACACGTGGGATCATCACAACTCTTGGCTGGCCTGACATGCACCCATTATTCTAACGGAAGCAAGTTGTGGGTGTTACCATGATCACACGACGCAGCTGCGCCAGAATGCCGTAAGCTCTTCCCGAGATTTGACCTTTCGCACTTAACTGGGCGCCACGTTAGCCCTATTTTCCTAGGCATAACAGAAATGAACATAAAAAGCTTAGTTTGGTACAACCAGACTTAGTTTCGTGCAATTTTCTATTATATGATTATGAATATCCTCATGGGTAGTGACCAAGAAATTGAATGAAGTCTGACATTCATCATATTAAGAAATAACAGAGTAACAAATTCTAACTATCCTCAACATAATGAAATATGAACATCATGATTGTGGCTAATTACTAAAATTACGCCAATCACCCAAAATCACTCAATCAATCAATTCCCTGATTGAGAGTAATTACATTATTTTGTTTCCTTATTATATAGCTAAACTTTTGTATAAATAGGTGATGTATTCACAATTCAAAATAATACAATTGAATTCATCTAAATATATCTCCCGGGTATACTCTGACTCTTCAATTGTCTCTCTTGCCCTCTCAAAGAATATCTCTCGGGCATGCGATGACTTTCTTCAAATTGTCTCTCTTGCCCTCTAAATTCCAACATGGTATCAAAGCTTCCAAGTTGAATCAACTTCCGCTCAGCTAGCCTCTCTTTTCTATCCCTACAATTCAAACAAATACTCAATTAGCACAATACTCAACTAGCCTCTCTTTCTGTCCCTGCAATTCAAACAGATACTCGATTAGATTTTCCAATGGCAAACAACCAAAGCTCAAACTCTAACATAATCACCAACATTTGCATCTTTTACGCAAGCTTGTGGTTTAGACCACAAGCTTGAGGAGGATTGATGAAATATGAATGCCATGATTGTGGCTAATCATTAAGATTACGCCAATCACCCAAAATACTCAATTAATCAATTCCCTGATTGAGTATAATTACATTATTGTGATTGAGAATCACCCAAAATCACTCAATCAATCAATTCTCTGATTGAGTTTAATTACATTATTTTGTTTCCTTATTGTATGGCTGAACTTTTGTATAAATAGGTGATATGTTCACAATTCAAAATATTTCAATTCAATACAATTGAATTCATCTAAAGATATCTCTCGAGCATACTACGACACTTCAATTGTCTCTCTGGCTCTCTCAAAGATATCTGTTGGACATACTCCAACTTTCTTCAAATTGCCTCTCTTGCTCTCTTAATTCTAACACACACCAATCAGTCTACGACAAAAGCCTTTTTCTTTTCCAGTTTAAGAATTAAAATTATTTGAATGATCTTTAATGGACAAAGATCATTAACAAAATTTGATGGTTCAGAAATTAACACATGTCTTGTAAGTTTGGTGTTTTAAATTAGTCTCCTCTGAGGGAGCGTTTGAATCATATAATGTTTT